TTGGAGGAAGCTCTGCCTGGCCACTGGCTCATCTCACACTACACTTACAAGTACTAAAATCTCCAGGATTATTTTTCCCTTGAGCTTCTACAGAAGCAAGTCGCCCCACTCCTCTCTGTGCATGGCTGAGTTTGTAACCCAGGTTGGACTCATACATTTTCTCCCTTAGACCGGGGTGATCTTCCTGAGTCTCACTGCTGTCATTTAATGGGCTGACTGTCACCCCAACCTATGTGCCCCCTGCAAAACTGCTCAACATTCCACCTTAATCCATCCCAGTCACTGATAGAAACACAGGCATAGCCCATGGGACTTGGTACTGTAAGCCCCGCTCCACCTCCTCCTCTGTGTCAGGTCAATCCATGAACAGACACCAGCAGTTACACGTGGTCTGACAATGTTGTCACCAGCCTTGGTATTTTTGTCTCCTCCTCTGAGGACCCCAAGCTTATAGCTCATGAGCAACTCATACCCCTAACCTACTGTGCTCCTACCCACAGATGTGACTTCATACCCCCTGACTTAAACCACCATTCCCATTACAGCAAAACTTACTTAATTTAAAAAATATATTTCACCCCATGTCTTACAAATAGGGAAGAACTTTTTCCAAATTTTAGAATTCTGCTGCTGGAGTTTGACCTTCACAGATCCCAGCTCTCCCTGTCTTAGCCTCGTGTCTATGGGGCAGCCTCCCAGCGCCAACCCCAGCCCTCCCAAAGATCTCTCAGAATCAGAACAGGAGGGCCTGTACTAGTCCCAGCCCCCTGGTGTAGCAAGATCCTGGTGGTCAAATTAGAACTTAGTGACCCCTGAGAACCACGCATAAGCTGGGGACTTCATGCACAATGAGCTCCATTTGAGTCAAGTAAAATTTACGGTCCTGAAAACCCATGGTCACAGGGTTAAAGTTTCCATGAGAAAAGGCTTGGAGAACCCCATACAGTCTTGGAGGGTCACCAATGACAAGCACAGGACTATGGATGAATAGCTGGCAGGACAGTGGGTGCCTGGGACTTCAGATTGTCCCCAGCCTTCCCTGAAAGTCCCCATGCAATGGGCTGCTGATGTGGCAATTCCTTGGGTGCAGCTGCTGGGCTCTGGCAACATGGTACTAGGGGGAAAAAGTGGGAGGCTCGGCCAGTCTCCAGCTCCAGAGGCCCACTGCCTTCCCAACAGCCAGCAGTCATGGGGAGGCGCTCAGGGGCTGAAGGGGCCCCCGGGCTTCTGTCCCATAGCACGTTAGCACCCTAAGGACCAGATGTTATAGCTCCCACTTGGGTCCTGACCTGAGCTGGCAACTTCAGGCATGCAGGGAGACAGAAGGAGATGAAACCCATACAAAGACTGTCACTAGCTCTGGAGGAAGCAGACCTTTTTGAAGACAGCCACCTTAACAGGAGTTGCCGGTGGCCGTGCCCACCCCAGCCCTTCACTGGCCTAACCGAGTGCCCTGATGATGAAGCGACAGCTCCGCCTCACCAGTGCTCAGCAGTGGTTAGGCACAGGCGCTGGAACTCGGCTCTGCTGCTCCCCAGGTGACAGCTTTCTCACTGGTAAGACAGCGTCCCAGTCATCCCCAGTCCACAGGGTCATAGTGACTTACTTCTTATAAAGTGCTTCTGTGGGAACCAGATGAGATCCAGATACCCGTTAATGGCGTCTGTGTTTCCGCCATGGAAATCGCTCAGAATCAGTACTTCCTGGAGCTCCGACTGCATCCATGGGATGGCTAAGCAAAGAGTCACAAAAGTGAGGCCCTGGCTTGTTTTGTTTTGTCTTAAAAAGAGTGACTTACACTCTTTGGAGTGATCACACACACCGACCTCTTCTGAGGCTTTTCTGTTTGAGACAGGGAAGGACGGTCGTTATGGTCTCAGCCTGCACAGGAGAAGCCAGCAGGTGAGCTACAGGTGGGTGAGGCTGGGCCCAGGCCTGGCAGCCCCGGAGCCATCTTCTGACTTCCCTTTCCCCATTCCCCTTGCTCCTCCTTGAAAACGTTCTCACAAACTTACTTCTCGTTACTCCCAAGTCCGAAAACACCAGGGCTCAGCTGTACAAATATTTTTCAACCCTTGGCTTTTCGATGAATGCATTGGTTCAAACTTGTCCCAAAAAAAGATGAAAGTGGCATTAATAGAAAGACAAACTTCCAGGACAGAAACAAGAGGCTTGGGAATGCCTGACACCAGGGAACTGTTTATCTCCTATTAACATGTTAGAGCACACAGCATTCTAATCTTCACTGCTTTCAAGGTGCTTAGGCAAGAAAAAATGGGGGGCAAAAAGTGGAAAATGTCATCTTTTTTGGACTAGATCAAAGTGCTTATTTTCACCAGTAGGTGGCAACAGAGTAATAAGGCTAAAAGGAGCAAAATGTTGAAAGAGAAATCCTAAATATTTTGAACATGGAGACGAGATCACCCAAGCTACAGTTATTTCCTAAGAAATCAAGGTCTCCAGATGTTACCTAACACACAACTGGGTAATGGCTGAGCCAGACTAAACTCACTTCTCCCCGTTACACCAGGATGTGCAAGAGCATGAACTGTCTTCTAAAATTGCCTGGCTCTTAATCACACACAAAAAATAGCACAGCTTTTCAGTGTGCAAATAATTCCTGTTGATAGCAAAGCACAAAGCCTGCATGAAATGAAACCATTAATTATACTCTCAATCTCTAAGAAAGGGAAGAAGGCAGAGAGGGAAAGAGAGAAGAAAGGAGAAAGGACAGCGGCCAGTTCTGTGTTCTTTCGAGGCTTCCTGACATGTTTGAGTCACTTCTGAGCCCTCCAAGCTATGATCTCCCCAGTGAGACCACGAATTATTGGGTGAGAATCTCCCCTTCACTACCCCTCTTTCCACTCTATCAGCATGTTTGTAACGAAGGACATTAAACATTTCCCTTTGTGTAGACTCCAGGTGTCACTCTGCTTTGTTCTGCTTAAGGCATATGGAAGTAGAAGCTCCACTCCATTGCTGCTCCATGGAGGGGCCGGATTTGTTCTGTAAGGCTTCCCAACAAGATAATCCAAACAGGAGGTTATCAATGAATACTGAGTGCTAAAGAAGTACAAATGGGGTGGGGTGGATGGTTGGATAAATGGATGAATTAATTCATGAAGATAGATTGGGTCAAAAATTCCAGACCCCTGTAATGAAATTTTTTCAGTCTCAATAATCCAAGAAGGAGCAGACATAAATGCCATTTGGGTTGGGCATGCGATGACTTCCTTGCCTCTGGAGGCATCAAAGCTCCGGCCAGTTCTCATTTGACAGCAATTCTGTGAAAGCAGCCTGAGACGGTGAGGCTCTGGGTTAGGGTTGTGGAGGTCTTTGAGTATCCCAGATTCCATGATCCTTGGTGTCTAGTGAAAGCAATAGGCAACAATAATGATGCCATTGGCTTTAAGAGTTTTAGGTGGGGAAATCACACTGATTTAAATTGTGGTCCCATGTTCCTTTGCTGACCTTTCTTTCACAATTAGGAAACACCATTCTAGCGATTCACTTCAGAGGTTCTTCGGGGTGGGTGTAAGTAACAAGTTTCCTTTTAATTTTGAAGTTCAGGAGAAACAGCCTTGTGGAAGCTGGAACCAGTCCTTTTAGACGCAGGTAACGCCACAGCCAACCTCTCAGTCCCTGTCAGCTCAGGACACGGGGAAGCAGAGACCAAAGAGGGTCTCCTCACTCAGCTGGTGGCCCGGCAGGCCAGGCTCTCTACAGTGTCCACGCTGTCTAATGACCAAGACATTCGGGTCCCGCAAACGGCACGTGGAAAGATCTGTAAGATGATCAGATTAACAAAGGAGAGAATAAAAACACGAAGACAGAAACGGGTTGTATTAGACACCATCTGGCAACACTTGACTCCTCTTTTCTCTACCTTGTTTACAAAATCTTATCCCAGTTATTTGCTGCTTTGAATGTTTGAAATTCCAACAAACCAAGCCTCACAGGCCTTGTATTGGTGGGGGAAACCGATGGGTGGCAGGGGAGGATGGAGGGGCCCCGGCCCAGCTCGCTTCGCTCCCCCTCCCTATGGCCTACAACTCGGAGGCGTTTCCCTGAGAGGCTTTCTGGCTGAGAAACTCTATGAAACACCCAAAGTGAATTTTTTAATGATGTGAGGAAGTGGGGTGAGCTAGCTGACCTTTGATGGGAAGATGAAATCATGTGCTTTGCACACTGGAAAAAAATACACCGGAGCGCCAGGAGAAAACACACTACAGCCAGAGTGAGGAGGCAACCAGCACCTCTCTCTCCACCCTGCCAAACTCCGGAACTTTGGTCGTCCTGAAAACTGGAGACTCACTTCCGGTGGAGCTCTGCTGGGGAAACCCGGTGGTCCTACCCAGCCAAGAGGAATTCTCCCTTATTGTCTTCATTTCCTTAAGTGGCCTACTTGTGAACTCAGTGTGCAAATGTTCTAAAGAACCGCCCCCACCGCTGCCAGGCTAGAACTCGCCCCCTACGCAACCTCTCCCAGCTCGAAGTTCTCTCCACCTTTTGAATTACTTTCATCTGAGCCCTTCTTCCCAGGTCTACATCCAGCTCTCTTTCCATCGTCCTCTTCCTCTTTCTAGATTGCCTGAAATGACCGAGGACCAACATGTGCTAGGCACAGTGAAGGCTTGTGTGACCAGGCACACTGGCTGACCTCAAGATCTTCAGAATTTTAAGAGGAATCGTGTATCCTGGCAACGTTCGTACTGCTTTCAGAGGAGGAAATTAAGGCTCAGATCAAACAATTTAAGATGAGAATGCAAGTCTCCCGATTTCAAATAGCAATGAGTACCCAACGGAGTATTATCTTTAGCAGACTGTCAGTAAATTGTAATTTATTCTTATTTTTCTCAGGATAGGAGTGATACAGAAACAAGCTAGGCATAAGCCAGGCCCCTGAGCTAGGTGTGAATACCGCTGGGTCCCCTTCCCTGGGGCAAGGCCAGATGCTTCCTGTACTTATAAGTCACCAAAAGTTTTACTGCTCTTTCCAGGATTCGTTCCAAAAGAAGAATTAAGCACACAAGCTTTGGAGCCAGTATCCCAGGGAGATCCGAGTAAGTTAATTGACAACTAAAAACCCAGGGTGGTTTTGATATCTGATCTGCTCTTTCTCTTCTCTACCCACTCACTCCCACCCAAGGCTGTCTCTGTCCTGCCATGGATCCATTTATCTCCTCTCTTCTGTCACATTGTTCTAAGGAGAAAAGAAAACTTTTGAAGGATTTAAACTGTGTACATGAGGAGGAAAAGATCAGATTTTTAAATATCACTATGGCAACAGGGTACCAAATGGGAAGGAACGAGGACAGAATGGCAGATGAAAGGGGCAGATGGGCTATTCATCAGGGACAATGGTCCCATGGAGGTGATGGTGGCCAGAGCTTGGAGGTGGAAGTGGAAATGGAGAGAAATAGGCAAATTCAAGAAGCACAGAAAAGAAAGAATCTACAGGATTGGGTGGAGGTATGAGAGAAGAAACAGAAAAATGATTTCTGCCACTGGTAAATAGTACTTCAGTGAGGAGCACAGGATCGAGTAGGTCCGGGGCAGGGTGAGACATTCATGTTGGTCATCTTCCATGAGATGTCTAGTTGCATAAAGAGATGACTGCTCAGGTCCGATATTCAGATAGATCAGCCCAGTCAGGAACTCCAAATTGGAGTTGTGGAGCAAGATGGTGCCTGAGAAAGCACACCTGACAACTGTTTTCCTACAACCACACCTAGTTGAACAGGTATGCATGCCAAACTACCCACACAAAACCTAAGGAAGGGCTGGTGAGATGGCTCAGTGGTCTAAAGCACCTACATAGAACAAGCTTAGCAAAGCACAGAGACCGCGGTTCAATCCCCCAGCACCACATGCCAGCCAGGCCCGCCCCCTGGTGGGCTGAGCTGGACACACACACAAATAAATAAATAATAATAATAATAATAATAATAATAAACTAAGGAAACCAGGTTATCATATAGTCCTCTGTCCCTTCTCTAAGTTAATCTTAACTGGATAGTAAAATATATCCAAAAAAGAAAAAAATTAGAGTTGGAAAATAATGAACAACAGTTCAACATTGAGTCTATGAGAACAGAAAATATGACCTTAAAAATCAGAGTTGGAAAATAATGAACAACAGTTCAACATTGAGTCTATGAGAACAGAAAATATGACCTTGCAAGATAGAGCAGAATCAGAAGAAACAGAGGAGTTAAACCTAAAGGACTAGGTACCTGAGGATACCAGAAAGGAGGGACCAGAGAGAGAGCAAATGAAAATGATGTAGTCACCTGCACACTACAGAAGACAAGCACTTGCAAAGTCCCCTAGACAGTAGCTATAGTCCACCATCAATGGGCTGTGAGCTTCAACTGTGCTGCATGTGAGAATTACCAAAAGAATCATTTTGCTTGTTGGGTTTTTTTTTGTTTTATTTCTTGAGATAGGGTCTCACTATATAGTTCAGGCTGGCCTTGAACCCACCATGTAGTCCAGGTTAGCCTTGAGCTCATGGCAATCCTCCTGCCTCAGCCACTACGCCCAGCCTGAAGGCATTCTTAAAATTTAAGATGCCCACATCCTGACATTATCCTCACATGCACATGTATCACAGAGTCTCCTTGGACCCGGCTAGACCAAATGTTGTCTGAGGTTCAGCACGTCAGGATCACCAGAGAATTGGTTACAAATACAGTCTTTGGTCCCCTTGAGAAGTGCTACCTAGAGTAACTTCCCAGCTTCTTTATTCATGGACGTGGCATGAGCAACTCGTATAGGTACACAACTCTGAAACATGGAGACATTAATCTGCAGAATTGTACCATGTTGAAGGAAACCAAAGCTATTAAGGGAACTGGCAGACTGCCTCTCTTTGACACCATATCTTACCTTTTGGGCTTTGTCTTCCAAATCTGTCTTCTATGACTGCATGAAATGTCTCATGCTGAACATTCCACAACCCAATTCTGCCTATCAATGTCGATGCCATCTTCAGATCGGTGTGTTTTCATCTCATTATAAGAAAGCCTCCAAGTCTCAGCCATCATGAGCCCTGAGCTGGAGCCACTGTCCTTGAAACGCCTTCGGCAAAGAGAATCAAAGGCAATCTCAGCAGCCATCATGGCACTGAGTCAAGAGAACAAATAGAGAAATAGCTTTCTTTTATAAAGCCTAAGAAGTGAGTGTGCCATTCCTGAAGGTACAAAAAAGTTTGAAGATATAAAACATGAGGGAAAAAAGCTATCTCACAAGAGAGACCCAAATAGATGCCACAAAAGCCATATACTATACTATTTTACACTTTAAATAAATGAAGGAAGGAAAAATCTTTAGCCTGTACTCTAATATGCCCCCTACCCCGCGTGCAAGAAAACTGTTTCTTTCTTTCAGAACCGGGGATTGAACTCATGTCCTTGCACTTGCCAGACAAATGCTTATTCTACTGAGCCATCTCCCTGGCCCCTAGAAAACCGTTTCAAAATGCATAGAACACTAATCTGCTGACACCTGGAAGTGAAACCCATCTTATTCAGGAGTGCTTCTCCAACTTTTCTGTGTGCGTGAATCAGCCGGGCGCCCTATTAAACTGCAAAATTAATTCTGTAGGTTTGAGTGGAGCCTGAGAGACCACACGTGTAGCGGAGTAGGTGCTGGTGGGTGGCGAGCCCTAAAGAACGTCACTGCCACCTGCTGGCAGCACTTTACACTGCAAGGCCGAACCTAGAAAAGAACGAGTTGGTCAGTTCCGGAAGCAGCCACGGACATAAGAAAGCATTCTGATCTCTTCTGCTCCTTCCCAGGCTTTTGTGGCATCTCTAAACTCCCAATTCTTTTCTTTTCTTTTTTTTTTCTTTTCTTTTCTTTTCTTTTTTCTCTTAGGAAAGGGTCTACAGGGTGTTCAGGGTCTCACTACTGTCTACAGCATCCCAAGAGCTGGGATTACAGGTGTGAGCCACCGCGCCCAGTCTCAATTGCCGGCTCAGCGCGCCGCGGGGGCGGGGCCGGCACAGCAGGCCTGGGGATCGAACCCCTGGCCCCTGCTCCTGCTTGCAGGCGCTTTAATCTGTAAACTCCCAATCCTTGATTTTGTTCGTTTCTATCAATCCTCATCTCAAGGATTATGCTTGGCTATAGGCAATTGTGGAGGCAGCAAAGAAAAGAACAGGGGAAGCCAGCTAACAGGAAGAACTGCTAGCCCCTGAATGACCAGTCCATGGGCACAGTGGCACACACCTGCATCCTAGCTACTCTGAAGACTGAGCCAGGAGGATCGCAGCCTGGGCCCCTTAGTGAGACCTTGTCTCAAAAAATCAAAGTGGCTGGGGTGTAAATTAGTGTCTGAGTAGGTGCACATACCCTGAACATTGCCTCCTCTTTCTCGCTTTTTCCTCCTCGGAATCTCAGGGGACGGCAGAGAAAAAGGGGAGCAAGGGGCTGCGCAGGTGAACGCAAAGGGAGATGACTGCAGTAACAGCCCTTCTTCCATTTCCCAGACTGCAAAGTTGACCTGTCGTTTCTAATCGATGGGAGCTCCAGCCTCGGCAAGCGTCGCTTCCGGATCCAGAAGCAGTTCCTGGCTGACGTGGTCCAGGCTCTTGACATCGGCCCCGCAGGTCCCCTGATGGGTGTTGTTCAGTACGGGTGAGTGCAGGTAACGTTCTGAGTTTAGAGCAGAGGGATGGCGTTTGCTTCATTTGATGCTGCGCATAATACCGGCATGTTCTCGAGCACAAATCTGTTGTTGTGTAACATAAGTGAAAAAAAAACTGGAACAGTCTGGATGCCAGTCAAGAAGTATGAGCCTTTCTGAAGCGACAGACCACTTAATAAACACTTGTAAGCAAATGGTATTTGCCATGTGGCTGATAAAGTAATTATTTGTCTGAGAAGTAGGAGAACGGGGGTGCAAATCTTAGTTTAGCCACTTGTTGTGTGGCCTTGGACTGGACCTTTGCTCTCTGACCTCCCCTTCCCTCCCCCGTCTGCGTCTGCGGGTGCAGCAGGTGAAGTCCTCGTTGGCCCTTGGCCATTAGGACTTGTGTTTGTTACCCTGCAAGGGAGGCTCCAAGAGGACCCAGTGCCTTGGGCGGCGTTCCCGTTTCCTCTAAATAGCCGTGGGCCTCTGCCCTGCTACCCAAAAAGCTCAGGAGGCCACGGGAAGACTGAGACAGGTGGCCCCACCCGCCAGCTACTGGTCACTCCAGTGACTGTCCCCAGGCTGCTTTATCAGACAAGGGTCAAAATTAAGGAGTTCTATTTCTGTTCCAAACTCAGCCTTCTTTTTCTTTCTTGTTTTGGATAATAAATCAATCTCATCTCAAATAAGTATAGATTTCTGACTGATAATAAATGCTAAAAAGAGAGAACAGGTGCAAATCTCAGATTTATGTCTAAAATGGGTGGGTGGGGGGGTTGATCAGCAACTGTTGGGGCCTGAGACAACTATGCTACCTTTCATGAATGACCAGGGGGCTGCACAGGGTCCCCTCCCTCCACCGGCAGCTGTGGTTCAGCCCTCGGAAGTGAAAACCGGCCAAGAGCTGAGTGCCCCAGCGGCAGCTGTGGCATATGCACTCCCCTGGAAAGCAGGGGAGGTGACAACACCCAGGAGGCCTCCAAGCTCTGCAGAGGCTTCCCGAGGATTTCATGAAGCAGCATCTTAACTGAAATCATTCTAGCAAAGATGTGAGAATGCTTATTTATTAAGTTATCCAGAGAAACAAAAGTGCTTCGCTTTTTCAAAAGAACCTATAACATTTGCATTTTGAGAATTACATTCCAATGACACATTTCATTCTTTCTTCTTGTGGGGAAAAATTAGTAGATTAGCTAATTGGCATTTACATGTAGTCAAAGTGAAATTATATAAAAAATAGCTAATTGCTATTAATGCCATATCTCAATGTCGAATGAATTATCTTAAGGCTTTGGATGTGAAATAACATTTTTTTAAAATATTGTTTTGTTTAAAAAATGTTAACCTATTTTCATTCCTGTGTTAGTTTTTCAGATAGCAAACAAATGGGCTTTTCTGTCGGGAGAAAATACAAGTATTTTAGTAACAGATGTCCCTAGTCCATTTTATGAGAGGGTTCAAAGCATGGTACGTTGTCTTGCATTAAAAATAGCTGCTATCAAAACTGAGTATACCAAAGTTTATAGCAAGATATGAAACTAAGGTGATGAATTTGTCAAGGAAAAGAAAAATGGCCCCAGGATAATGTTATGCGCCAACAAGAGCGTGAATTAAGGGACAAATGTAGCAGGAAAGAAAAACCAATAAAGATTACTTCTCTCTGCTGTGGTTTGAATCCCCCCCACCCCCACCCTGTGCCCCATGCTGTTGTGCTGGAAACTTATTCCCCAGTGCAGCCGCGTTGAGAGTTGGGATTGCTGAGGTGACTGGGAATTGACTCATGTTACTATCGAAGGTATGGTGTAGTTACTGGGCGGCTGGGCTTGCTACTGAAGTGAGTTCAGCCTGGGTCACTCCAGCTGTCCCAAGCACCCTTGCCCTTCTGCCTTTTGGCATGGGCGCCCTGAATGAAGGCGAGTTCCAGATGCAGGCTTCCGAGCTTTAGTCTTTACAGCCTACGGAACTGTAGTAAGAAATGTTTCTTAGCCAGGCAAGGAGGCGCATGCCTCTAATCCCAGCATTCAAAGGCTGAGGCCCGAGGATCACCATGAGTTTGAGGCCAGCCTAGACTACATAGTGAGACCCTATCTCAAAATAAGTTAACTAAATAAAAGTAAAGGATAAAAGTGCCTGCTTAGGCAGATGCAGGGACTGGGAGTTCAATCCCCGGGACCTGCCATGCCAGCACTGCCCCTGGGGCATGCTGAGACTGCATTGGGACTGGGCATGTGGTACTCACCTATAATCCCAGCTCTTGGGAGGCTGTAAACAGGCAGATCACTAAGAGTCTAATCTATGCAGTGAGACCCTGTAGACCCTGTCCTAAAACACAAAGAAAAAAAAGAAATAGAAATAAAAATAAATAGGGGCCAGGGAGATGACTCAGTGAAATGAACACTTCCCTGGCAAGCGCAAGGGCCTGAGTTCAATCCCTGGTTCTGCCAAAAAATAAAAAATAAATAGTCCTTTTCTCAATAAATTATGCAACCCCTGCAGTGTTCTGTCATACAACTCTAAACACACACACACACACACACACACACACACACACACACACACTCCAAAGCATGTTCTATACTTGCCTAATGTGGTTAGCATTTACAAGAAAAGGATAGCCTTCATGCTTTCTGATTGCACTTTCTAAATGCTCCTTGGTGTCTGCCCTTTTTCTTCTCAGCTCCCTATTCAGAGAAATGCACGTGTCTTCCTCCCTCTTAGGACCACATCAGCCAATCCATCATCTTCACCTTGCTTTGGCAACAGGGTGGGGAAGAAGCCCAGTGAGCTGCTGCCAGGCGATCTAGGTGCTGACCTCAGCCCTGCTGGGTGACCTGAAGCAAGTCACTTAACCTCCCCATGTAAGTGGGGCTACCTGAAAGCACAGCGGTCGCTGATGATTTATGAGGCCTCTGTCAGCCTGCATTGTGTAATTCAGCAATGGGCTTTGTATCCAGAAGACACCCGGTAAATGAGTGTTAGACTAACAGACTACTGAGTCTCTTCCATTTCCTTCCAGCCTCAGGGTCCCCAAGAAGTGGGTTGACCTAAGATGAAATGATGAGTCACATCGAAGTTGTAAATCCACCCCTGGGAAGACAGAAACAAAATAAATTAGAGTGCAGTCTGATGGGGCTGAAGGGTGACACGATTATGCAGCTGACCCGGCTTTGAGGATCAGGCGTCCTGCCCTCCCACATGTTCCGCTCACTCCTTTCTCCGTCACATGCAGAGGATGGGGTCTGGCAGCAAAGGGTAGGAGGTAGAGGCAGGTCCAGCGCCTGTGGACTGGAATAGAGATCTGGGAACCTGATTCTTCGCACAGTGTTCTGAGTCCTTGCCAAATTCTAGAGCTCACATATTAGTGTTCTCCAGAGAAATAGAAGCAATACAACGTATATCCAGACAGGATTTGCTCATTGACTTAGATGACCAGCGGCGGGACAGGTCCCCAGTGGCCACCTGCAAGCAGGAGAGCTGTAGAAACCTGTAGGCTCCCAGGACAAGAAGATGCTGGCCTCGAAACAAGAGGAGGGAAACTGATCAGCGCCAGCCCAAGGGCAGAGGCCTGGGAGTCCTGCAGAGCTGCTGGTACAAGTTCTGGTTCGAAGGCTAAAGAATCTTGAGTCAGATGTTGAGGGTTGGCAGCAGGAAAAAAAAAAAAAAAAAAGCACCTGCTCACGTACATCCGCCGCTTTCCCCGTCTGCTTGTTTGATCCTTCTGGTCTCCCAGCCTACAGGCTGGGCTGCTCGTGTTCTGGGCAACTCTTCTCATGTAGCTCACTGACCCGCAGGCCAGGCCTCTCTGGAAACAATCCCCACTTTCTAGGCATCTCCCCATTCAGTGGAGTTGACAACCAGAAGAACCACCGTGCTCACTGCTGCCCCGTCACCACCCCTAGGTGCACAGTCAGAGGTCTGCAGGAGCTCCGTCCCTCTTCTCTCACTCTTCGCCTCCCCTTCTCCAGACTGCATATTTATCACCCTCCTCCCTGTCATCCCTAACACTGGGAGGGGTGCTGAGCTCTGTGGCTGGCTTGGTAGGTTCATGGATCAGCAGCTTGAGCATCTACTTCCCCCTAGCAGGAAGAGAGTTGTGCAGGCTGGCTTTCTACTCTTTCTAGTACGTAGGTGGAAATATTGCTACTAATTCCCAAAACCAAAATATGCAAACACTAAGACCCTACTCCCCCTTCTCTCATGGCAGGAAAGGTCCCAAAAGCCAGTGTCTGATCGTAAGTGCTAGGTGTATGAGCTCGCCACTGTGCCTGGGCTACCTTGGCTGCTCTGGCAGAGTTCATACCTGTTCAATGAAGGTAGAGCATCTTCAGGCTGAGCCAACTGGTACCCTAAGAGACAATTCTCCCCTCACTCTGCAGCCACTGGACTGTCCCCAGGGACATCTTCCTGTTCTCACAGATACGCTTCATCTCACTAAGTCCATAAAACATCACATTTAAGCCAGTAATAAAAATTAAATGGATAAATATAACTGGATTATTTAATTGTAACATGACTTATTGAAGAAAATGGTTTCGTGAGGTTCTTCCTAGAAGACATCTGGGGCACTAACATTTCTGTGTGGGAGTAAAACTTTGCTGGACAGGCTCACGCCTTGTGCCTGAGTCAAATCAGCAGACTTCGGGACTCAACAGTTAGATTGGGGATGTAAGACCTGACAGGCTCCAAAGGCCTCTAGAATCCAGGGCTTTCCAAATTTGCCCGAAATGAAAATCACCTGGATTCCTTGCTTTAAAAACTCCCGTCCCTGCTTAGGCAGATGCTCAATCCACGGCTGCCATGCCAGCCCTGCCCCCAGGGTGATTGAGACTGAGCGTGGTGGCGTGCACCTATAATCCCAGTACTTGGGAGGCTTAAAACAGGAAGATCACTACAAGTCCGATCTGTGTAGTGAGACCCTGAAGACCCTGTACTAAATACATTAAAAAAAAAAACCTCCCAACCCTACTGAGTTTGGGATTTGTTGGGGGGTCTGCTGTGCTGTTTA